GTGCGGGTGCGGGTGCGGGTGCGGGTGCGGGTGCGGGTGAAGGTTAAAGGTGCGGTTGGGGGTAAAAAGTGCGGGTTCGGCAAGAGAATATATTCTGTGTTTTCTAATTGGCTAATTCTTTGATTATTCTCATGATTTCCTTGTTTACAACCACCTTTAACTTTTAAAAAATAATGAATTTATCACTTCCAACAGAGTAAGGAAATATGTTATGGGACCATAAATTAAAAAATGATTAAGAATAGAAGCAATATTGATCAAGTAAAAATGACACAAAAGATTGCCGGCATATCACGTACAACTCATTCATTTTGGGGTACCGAAGATTGCTGGTTTGGTAAACACTTTACATCTGTTTTTCTTTGTTTGAATATTATTGTGGATTTGCCCTTAATGGGTAGGTAGGTATTTTAAACGAATCCCACGCCATTTAGGGCCAAACATATGCTATAATTGTCAAATTCTACTTAACAGTCTCGACTTCCAACTATTGTTTCCTGGTCAGTCAAGCGAATTCGGGATAGGTCTATTGGCAATTTGCTATAAAGCTTTGATCCTTGATCGCGACTAATCAGTCTACAGTCGGTCTGTCAGACATATGTACCGTGTACATTTGGTGGTAGGTATTAAAATGGATATCTGATGTAAACTGAAATATTCATTCATTGGTTTTCCGGCGTGTTGGCATTGTTTCTCATGCAGTAAATGAGCTGATCTCCTGGTCATCATCGCCTTGGTTGACTCACCCAAGAGAAAGCCTCTTTTCAGAAGATTATTGGCATTGCGTTATCCTGCGTTCACTGTGTTTACAAATTTCAAGTTCTTAAGTTGGTTCTATCAACCAATAACTGGAATTGCTCGGTTCTTTGGATCCGAGTCAAATCTAGGAGAACATTGCGACGAGTACAGGAATTCGAGTTCAAACCATAAGAGATAAGTTCAGCTTTTGCAATTCATTGTTTCATATGATTTGAGTAACACACTAGAGCAAAGTCTCTAAGAAGATATTACATTTAATTTTGCTTGAATTTGACGTGATAAAGATGGAAAACACTTCAATGAATCATAGCAAGCCACATCCACCTTGTCTACCACCAGATGTCTATTCTCTTGATGTTCATCGTGGCTTTTACAGCAACGGCTTCATCTTGACTTTCATCATTATCAACGCCGTACTTGCTTTTATTTCTTCATGCAACAATTTTGTGATTATTTACACTATAGCAAGAACAGCATCCATCCAAGTTCCTTCGAATATCCTTGTTCTTGGCTTAGCCATATCTGACTTTGGAGTTGGCATACTCGCACAGCCTGCATACAGCATCTTTAAGTTCTTCGAGATGAAGCGTTTTGTTTCTCTTTACTGTACGTTTGGTTTAGTTAACAGCTACAGCAATTGGACTCTTGCACCTGTTTCTTTTTTCACAATAACAGCTATCACAGTAGATCGATTCCTGGCCGTCCATCTTCATTTGCGATACCTTGAACTTGTCACTGTCAGAAAATATGGCATTCTTCTTGGATATATTTGGGTCATGAGTGTAGTTATATGTACTTGCCGAATGCAACTGTCCCATATGTCATTCATCCGAGTCGTTGGAGTTTTCTCGCTTGTATTTTTAATAACATTGAATCTTTTTTTCCTCGTGAAAATATTTCAAGTCATCCGGCGACACTCAATACAGATCCACGCCCAACAACAATCAGTACAACAGTCTATAGACATGCCTAGATACAAGAAATCCGTCAACACCATGTACTATGTGATTGGTGCGTTCTTGGTGTGTTATGTTCCATTTACAGGAATGATGGCCGTCAATAGTGATCCTAATGAAAAGATAACACAGAACAAATTGATAATGATGGTGGTTACAGAGACGCTTGTCATGTTGAATGGAGTGTTGAATCCAATAATCTACTTTTGGAGAATCCAGGAGATACGCCATGCGGCCTTTCAATTATTTCGAAAAAGCTTCAGAAATGTCCAGCCATGAACGAAAAGCTGCAAATTGTCATTACAGTTCTTGCTTTTATTCTCTTAAAAAGATCCATGTGTTTTAAGTTAATTCTTACAGATGACTTTACGTATCTGAAGGAAAAAATTCCCTTCATGATAAAATCATATTTTTTCTTTAATACATCTACTCTTGTTAGGATGAATCCAATACAGCCAACTCTCGCTACAGCGGACACCTTTGGGATAGTCAGTTAGTGTCGCGTAATAGGCGAGCGTCCGCAATAGCGAACATTATTTTCGGTCATTTCTTTGTCAGTATTTTTTTCGGGGATTTTTTTCCTGTCCGTAATAGCAAGTTTCCGTAATATCGGGGCCATAAACATGTCTTATTGACCTTCATAGTTCTTTTGGTGCCAACCGAATGACACCAAAAAAAATTTCCTTTATGTCTGACAGGTCGTCATTTTTTTACTGCGGCGTTTGCGATCGTCTTAATAGAAATAACAATCAGGATTTCAAGGGCATATTATATGAATTTTACTTTTCTTTTCTTCTTGAATATTTTATACGTATTTTATTTTAAAAAGTTGTGTGCCACAATTTTCCTGTACATTTAATAAAATCCTAAGAAGTGTGAAAATTGACGTGTGGAAAAAAGTGCGAAAAACAGGAAATCAATGGATTAGAACTTTTAATTAAAACATTTATTAAAGCTATATCTACTTTTCGACTTTGTTTGCTTAATTGTAATTTAGTTGGTAAAGCTGCGTGCTAGGAAGGTTTTCGTCGACTTTCTCAGACCTTCTAGTTCTCAAATCTTGAATTTGTTTACACCTCCAAAGCCATGGCAACCGCTTTGTCAAATTCTCATCATTACAGATAGATGAATCTATCTAGCTTTTCATTGAAGTATTGGATAAGGGTCAAAAGGCTAGGGGTCGAAATTTTTCAAACAAATTCCAGTTTTTAAGGTATGCCTTTTAAAGCATTGCCTTTCTCTTCATTTTCCTCTCTTCTGTTCCACTTTTTTCGTGCTTTTTAACATTACTAAATAAACTAAGTACATACAGCTTCGCAGAGTAAAACTCAGTAGTCTATCCTGCTTATTTAATTTTCTAATTAATTTTTTTTCTTAATTTTAATCAATTTGAGCCAGTAATTACATGTCATGAATTCCTTACTTGATTACACCTTAATATTCGAATGGTTTTATTATTTTTATTTTTTTATTTTTTTAATTTTAGAATAAAAATCAGGTTTTTTTATCGAGGCCAATGCCTCGGAAAAAAATATTAAGCCACGGCAAATTGATTCGTTCTGATTGGCTAATTCATTCATGGGGCATCCTATGAGAATTGAAATCATCTGCCATGATGATGTCCTTGTTTACAACCACCTATGGCTTTATAAAAATTAGATGAATTTGTTACCTCCAACCGGGAAAAGAAAGCTTTTATATAACTAATAACAAATGATTAAAAATAGAAGCAATTAGCAGGGGCAGATACAGGGGGTGGATTGAGTGGATTTCCACACCCCACCCCCACCCCCTTTAGAGCAAAAGAGAACATTTTTAGGAAAATAAAAGAAGGAATATGACAATAACAATTCTTTTGTTAAGTTCCTCCAACATGGCCGCCGTGAAAACCATCAATATGACTCCTTGCTCCCTGGTGTTTATTAAGTTAATCGGATGCTTGTACTGCACCCTAAAACCGTTCTAACAGTTGACCTTTCTATGACCAAACGCTTCCTTGTGAATTGTTTTCTAATCGTCCAAAACCTGATTTTTTGTCATTCGGTCGCAACCTAAATATTCATAGTTTTCCTATTTTAATTAAGTGGCAACGCCACCAGAAACTTCTTAGTCAATATCGGACAATGTTGACAACTTGTCATTTAGTCCAGTTGATTATTGTACAAATCCCTATAAAAAGGATGCATTGAGATAATTCAGTTAGTTGAGTTGAGTTGAGTCAGTAGTAAAGTTGCAGTTGTAGAAGTTGCTTGGACTTCCAATAAAGACTCCACCAGCTAATTACCCCGTAATACTGGTGGAGACCCGGGTAAAAAGGTACGTCTTCTTTCTTTATTTTGTTGTACGTCAGCCCAGTATACGTACCTAAAGACAAATAGAGAAAAATGTATGATTCGTTAGCATTAAGATTCTAAATATCAATTTCGTAAATGATTTAGCTTTTCCTTTCTGCCACAATCGCGGTGTTGATGCTCGGTTACTTTTAAGCTCACACCTTTTCCCGATTATCTCTCGTTCAATTAGTTTTAGCCGTGCCTCGTGAAATGCGGAGAACGCGGATTTTCACAGATAGTGATTCCGAAAGCGGTGAATCTAAATCAAAAATTTCTTTTAAAACCAATATCTTGAAATCCAAAACTAAATTGAAAAAGAATCAATTTAAGTCAGAAACTAAATTGAAATCAAATACATCCTGTCGAGCTTGTAAATCAAAGACAATTACTAAATCAAACTTAAAATCCAATAAAATGTTAGCAACTGAACAAAATATGAAATGAAATTCTTTCACTGATTATTCCATATTAGAATAACAAAGTCACTTCAGGAGAACATTTTCTTTGATGTGATAAATATGGAAAACACTGGCAATGAATCGTAGCACGTCCCATCCACCTTGTCTACCACCAGATGTCTATTCTCTTGATGTTCATCGTGGCTTTTACAGC